ATTCTAAGGTAACAAAATCACAATTATTCCTATATTCTGTACACTAATGAGAACATACCTATCAATATTATATCCCGTTTCTGCCATTAGATCCTCCTCAATGTCACACACTGGACCTTTAAATGTGCACCGACCCTGCGTCCTGAGTTAAAAGCACAAACTGATGTTCTGGCTCAAGCTGTCCCAGTATTATGTTTATATTATATGAACTAAATTTAATCAGGCAGCTGAGTCAGAAAATACCCAGCTTGTGTTATTAATGAGAGCAGCAAAGTCAGAGGAGGAGAATCGGAGAGAGAAGGGAACTAAAAACAAACAATACACATAAATAGAAAGTTAAGGGATGGAACAATAATAATGTGTGTGTGTGTGAGAGAGAGAGAGAGAGAGGCAGGGCAGGTGAAGGCATTCCTGTGCTGATTAAACCACACAGGATCACATCACATCTCCCGCTATGAAGGAGCTCATTGTGTGTCTGCAGACAGTGATTTGGATCATTTCAGCATTTTTTTTCCTTCTCTTGCTAATGTTCAGCGCTCAGATCAGCAGCACGGGAAACCCCTGATAATGATATTAATAATAATAATAACTTCATTAAACTGTACTTACGAGGACCTAATGTCATTTACGAGCCGCTTTGTTGCTCCTTTCTTCTTTTAGTTTAGTTTCCTGTCAGCAAATCTCACAAAGAGACCAAAAACCAAAGTAGCGTTTGCAGAAATTCACATTTTAAAGAAGAAATAATAAACTGCAACTTCTTGCTCATGCTGCTATGGTGCAAGAAAATATCATTATGCACAAAAAAGAACCTAAAATGACAGAAAATAAGATTTAAAAAGCTTCTTTTTTCTGAATAACCACCCGAAACAGTTGACTATCATAGCTGTAAGACAAAGAACAGCATTCAGTGCTCTCAGTAGCTGCAAGCAGAGAACGTTTGCTTGAAAAACGACTGATTGATTATCACAATAGCTGGGGATTAATTATCTGCGGATCGATTAATCCACTGGGGATCAAACGAAGGTGGAGTTGCCTCTAATGGTACACGAAGGAATCTCTGAAATATGTGTATATTTAAATGAATTAAATTAATTTAAAACATAAAATACTACAACATTTTTAATGAAAATACTTAAACTATGAGAGCATTGAAATGTAATTCTGCATTTCCTGTAATATTTCTTTTCAATATCAGCCTGCTCCGTATCCATGATTAGTTACAAGCTAATTGTTTGGATCCAATGGGAACTATTAGGAAGGGAAGTGTGGACCAGGACGAACCTTTTCCACCAAATTAGCTCTGGTTCTTGAACCGGTTCCTCCTCCAACTGTTGCTACTCTATTTGAACATATATGTTAATAATGATGGTACTTGGAGAGCCTAGTAATTAATCTGAGGTGGTATGTGGTGGACTAATCAATAAGTAAACTAATCGTCAGCCCTAAATGGGTTAAAACTTTTACTTTACTGCCAGTGTGACTAAATATTTGTCACACTGGCAGGACAGAAGTCTTTTCAAATCCTGAAATGTCTCTAAAACAGACAAAGTGTCGTCGAACAATGTCTCGTTTTTTAGTTTCTGTGATGAAATCTGCACTGAAAAGTCCTCATCAGCACAAGAAAACGCCCACTTGTAAAAAGTTTGATAACACAAGAGACCCTGGAATAATAATAATAGTAATAAAGCTGCTTTATCATTTGCCTTGTTGGCCTTTGCAGCTGAAGTGTGGGGGGATTCGTAATGTCTCCAAACTCCAGTGGGTGGGGAGTTTTTGATTCAGAGCAGGCCTGAGAAGAAAAAAATTGAGCTCTGTAAGCCAGAAATCTCAGCAGCTGGCCAAATAATCACTGAGTCATTAATACTGATCAACAAATGCTGATATGTAGGGCGGTGAAGTCATTACTCATTACAGCTCAGTCAGGTTTGGAGGGCAGAGGTCAGTGTTTGGGGTTACTGCTGTGTCACCGTACCTTCTCGATGAGCAGATGAAGCTGCTGAGTCACCTGCCAGCACGGATCCCCCCGAACCGCCGTGATGCTCTGCAGGTCAGCTCCCGTCAGACAGGAAACGCTGCTCCTGGCAAACGTCTCCTTCATCTGTGCAGAGTGGGAATGTCACAAAGAGCATCGAACAATTTTCCTTTAAGTCCTCGTCAAACATGCCTGAGGAAGGTTATTTCCTTTTGTCTGTCGGTCAAAACTAAAACTTTATCTGGATTTTAACATATTTTCAGGCTTCAGGACATACATTTGTAGTGTAATTAGATGATTATGTGCTTTATTGGGATAGAAATAAGGCTTAAACCACCTTTTACACTCTTGCAATCACCATCATAAAGTTTCTCCTGAGTCAACATAATTTCTTGGCATGTTTTCCTTCGTCTTTGTTTTCATCTGTTTGGGTTTCATTTCTCCATACTGCTGCTATATCTCATCTGGGTTAATGATTAGCTCCTGTAAACACAGACTGAGAGTTGTTCTGGACTGAATCCAGGTAACCAAAGGACTCTGGCTTCACCAAAACAAGCAGTCCTCAACACACACACACACACACACACACACACACAGCCCTGTAAAAACTCTTCCTGATAATCTCAGTTAATCATAAAAAATTGCTGCATCTGCCTGAGCTCGTCGCTTCTTCGTCCTCTCGTTCTGTGTGCAGGGAACAAAAAGCATAGTGTGTGTGATTGCATGAAGCCACATTGTGCAGAACCTGAACAGTTTTACTGTGAAAGCAACATACAGTGTGTGGCCTGCGTTTGCATTGTGCAGAAAGAGAAAAGGAAATTAGACGTGTCCTGGACTATTTGTGCTCTGGAGCGCAGCAACAGAACCAGAGCGCATAAAAACGAGTTCAAAGCGTCTCCCTTAAAAACTGTCAACAACAAAGTGACTCACTAAAGCTTCTAGAAATTACAGACAAGTGTTCAAGGTCAACAAAAAGTGCGGTTTTATTCTAGTTGCGTTCAAAAGCCGAACAACTTGGCGCGGTGCGCGCTGCATGGCGGTGCGTAAAAGCCTCCGCGCGTCTCCGGTTCAGTCCGAACCGTTTTTACTTTTTCCTTACCGAATTGAGAGCAGTGGTGAAGTGCAGCACCGTGATGGTGACGACCACAGTCTGCAGCAGAACCGCCAGCAGCAGCAGGACCCCGAGCTTCGGACCGGAGCCCGTCATAACGACAGACCCGCCGTCCGGTACCCGACCAGCGTCGTCCCGTCCCGTTCCCAGACTTCCAGAACAAGAACAATGGCAGAGAACTGACTCCTTGACTTCTACCCTCCCCGTCTCCTGCAAGCAGGAGGAGGAGGAGGAGGCGGGGCCGGCCTGGAGAACAAGAGCTTTTTCCCTCTATGAATTTCTCCTGCAGAGATTATTGTTTCATTTGTGCGCTGGAAAAACACAGATAGCCTTTAGAGTTTATTGTGAACGCTCATATCACTGCTGCAGATCTGTGTGCTTGAGCTTCACTGTGAGAAAAACAAATTTTACTTGAGAATATGATCAGAGATAATGTTTTAAAACATGCACACAGTGGCACAGCAGCTAGATTTTGGCACGTACATAACTTTTATTACACGTTTAAACTCACTTAAACTTATCACCTACACTAAATCTATGACATAAATCCACCAAGAATCACTGAGTCACAGCACACTGATTTAGTTAATATAACTTAGGGGTAAAACCATAAATTAAGCCTGTCTTCAAATTCTTTGGCAGACATGACTTTATTTGCAACTGCAACCAAGACGTCAGGTTCTTTAAATAAAAGGTTTCATGGACGTTCCTGAGATGTCTTTCCCTTCTTTTATCTGTTTTGGTTCCAGGTCTCTCACCATCCGACTGTACATCCATCAAGTTTCTTTCTAACGTGAAGTATGTCAGAAAAAAAGGGTTTTTAAGGACACAAACTTTAACCTTTTTCAGTTTGTTCAGTCACTGTCTCATTTATTGACACTGGAAATGAGTGAAGACTCTTGAATGATGGGAGATTCTTGGAAGCTGGTGGGTTTTTTGATCGGGCTGCATAACAAAAACATGATGCTCTTTTTCACTCAGCATTGTGTCCACCCCGTTAGAGGATGAAGTACATTGTGAAAGAATTTTGAGGTCAGTATGAAAGACAAAACATTTGTAACCTAATTTTCCTTTATTGTTGAACTACAATCATTAACTTGTTGACCTGCAGCCTCTGTTTGACTCCTCCCGTTTTAATGTCTCTGGGTGTGTTAGGTCTTGTAGACAATGTTACATTACACTGAAGCTGACTGCAATGTCTTGATACTGTATATTCTGATATTGTGATATAGGATTAATGACAGAAGATTTATGCCCACTCAGAATTACCCACACAAAGAGGTCAATAGTGATGTTTTTATCTGGGAAAGTTCTCAGAAAGTGATCCACAGAGTAATATCATGGTGCAAGTACATTTATTTTAGCATCAATGAACGAATGTACAGTACAAGTTGCTAGTTAGAGTGCTCATCAGATTCAACTTCTTCAGTTCTGTTGTTGTTGTTGCTGACTAGTCCTTGTTTTGCTGTTTATTACAAACTAGAAATTAAAACAGGATCACTTTCCTTCGGTGCCAGAGGGGTTTTCCCAGGGAAAAACCTTTCTCACACTTTAATGTTTGGAACAATAAATTCAGCTTTTTGGCTCTCTGTGGTCTTGTATCAGTCAGCGATGGAAGGCAGAACATTTGAGACCTGTTTAAATTGACAAAGTATCTTATGTACACTAACAGCAACACAAAATAAAGTAAAATAATTCCTTCCAGTAAAATAAAAGCATAAAAATCTTTAACATTAATCATCCATACAATTAAAGGACCAGTGTATAAGACTTAGTGGTATCTAGCAGTGAAGTTGCAGATTGTAAACATTTTAATACATCTCGCTTTCCCAGTGTGTAGGACAAACTAAAGATCCTATCTAAAGTCGGTGTTTAGTTTGTCCGTAAAGTAGATCCTCATAAATGTTACATAATAGATATTTAAAATGTTCAGTTTTAACACTAAAAATGTTCCAAAAACTTATTTTCCCTACTGTACATTACACTATATCGCCACAAATATCCCATTATTTAGACATTTTACATTTTTTAAAACGCTTTTCGAACCCCTTAACACTCCATTCGATGGTGCCTCACAGTGAAAAACCATTGTATTTCAAAACATGTCAACTTTTAACAACTCTGGAAAAGAAACCTTATTTTTAGACTGACCACACAAGTATTTTAGAGCACATGGTTGGATGGTACAATCAGACACAAACAGAAAAAAAAGGACTTGAATTAGAAGGTTTGCACAATGTGAGTAGTCATGACTCGTTATCAATGTATTTATGTGCTGTGAGACGGGCTGAACCTATAAATGGATCCTGGTCCAGTGTGCTTCGTTCCTGCATCTGCAACATCTGGCCTCAATCTGGCTCCTACGCCCCGCCGTCCCCTGGGAGACGCTCTGCGCTTAGGTTTCACTGCGCTCCACCGCTACGCCTCGCAGGGCCTGCTGGGGGTAACGGAGTCTATTAGCTGTGTGTGTTTGTGTGATAAAGAGCACAGAGAATATGTGAAGGTCAACGTCGAACCATGAGAGCATCCTCAGAACGAGCTGCAGAGAGACATAAATATTTCTGTCTTTCACACACACTGACCTGATTTTGTCACTTAAGAGGACTCTTTATTGATTTATATTAACCCCCCCGGAGGCTTATCCTAACCTTAACCGGCACCGCTACACGTCTAACCCTAAGTCTTAACCCTAAAATGAATCTTTTACCTTCTGATGACAAGCTTTTTGTCCAGAAATTGCATTTAAGTCCCCTTAATGTGAACAGATTTCAGTCCCCCGTGTGGTGATTAATACAGGCTCAAACACACTGAGTGTGAGTGAATTTCTGAACAGCGGCCAAGTTTTGATGGGGTTATGGAGAGGAGAACTGACCAACTCCCCCGCAAAGTCGACTCCCTCCCTCTTCAGCCGCCTTCCAAACTCTGTCTTCCACTCCCCTCTGCCCTCGTTCTTCCTCTCCCTCGTTCTCTTTGTGTCTGACTCACTCTCTCTTTGTTTTTCTTTGTCTGTTCGCTCTTTCTTCTGCCATTTCTTGCCATCTCTTTGTCCTCCTATTCTGTCTCTCTACCTCTCCCCCCCTCAGCTTCATCTCAAATTTGCTGCATTGACCTGAGATAGGGACGGTGTTGCCAAAGCAGAGACTAATAGGTGGGTTTAAATCCACCTGTTTTCATGCCAAATTTCAATAAGTGT